GCGCGGGGGGAAAAGGGAGGAAAAGAAGGGAAGGAAGCGGGCGCGATCCTCGTGAGGGGCTTGCCGACGTGGGCATCGCGGCGTGCGGGCGTGGCGCTGCTGCCCGGGTTCCCGGGGGAGCTTTTCGGCGGCCACGCGCAGTGTCACGAGTGCACAGACAGGCCTGCGCGTGGCCGTGACCGCAGTCGTGCAAATATCTTCGCTCGCGCGCAGACGCCTCCACATCGTGGCCCCTTCTTGGGAGCTCCGCCGCAAGCTCGTTCGGGAGGGGTCACATGGTACCGTTGCCGCATTTTGCTTCACCCCTCGCGTTTTCTTGTGCCCCCCTAGAGAGCTTCACCGAAGGCCTTTGTGGGAGGGTCTGCTGGGCGTCGCCGCCCCATGTCGGCAGCACACCCCTTGCTCGTTTCGTGGCTCCATCTGGAGCGCCACCGTCTACCCCAGCAGGAGGTTTAAATGGCACCACTGCCCGATCTCGGCGCGCCGCTCGCGCGTTTTAGTGGCTCCGTATGTCGCGTCACTGATGGCCCCAGAGGGAGGGTCCACATGGCACCACGGCCCACTTCCGGCAAAGCTCTCACACGTGTCGTGGCCCGAGAGGGGGTTTCACCGAAGGCCCGAGTGGGAGGGTCCGCGTGGCATCGCCGCTTCGTTGCGGCCTATCCCTCGCACGATTCGTTCTTCCATATGGAGCGTCACCGCATGCCCCAGTGGGAGGGTTCGCAGGGCACCGCCGCTCCATATCGGCATTTCCCTCGCGCGTTTCGTTGTTTCATCTAGAGCTCCACCGAAGGCCCCAGTGGGAGGGTTCGCAGGGCATCGCCGCCTCATTTTGGCATATCCCTCACACGTTTCGTGGCCCCACAGGGGAGCTTCACAGAAGGCCCCAGCGGAAGGATCCGCTTTGCACCGGGCCTCATTTCGGCACACCCCTCCTATGTTTCGTGGCCCCGTAGGGAGCTCCACCGAAGGCCTTCGTGGAAGGATCCGCCTGGCACCACCGCTCTGCCCAGCGCGTCGCTCGCCCCCGTTGCGCTCTGCCCAGCAGAGAGCCTTGCCTGCTATCAGCCCGGTTGCTGGCTGTTTCGTCTTCGCACAACGGAGGATGCGCGCGCGTCGCCGGGATTTTTTCGTGGCGACCAGCGCGTGTCTCGGGGACTCCGTGGGGCGCCGCGTCTGCAGCCGTGGACATGGAGGGCGTGCCTGGGCAAAGAGGGAGGCACAGAACGAGAAGGACGCGGGCACGATCCTTGTGAGGGGTGGGCCGAAATGGGCGTCGGCATTGTGTGCATAGATTCACGTGCGCAGAGTAATCCACAGTCGAACTTACTCGTGCTCAAACGCACCCGCGCTCAGTGTCCCGCACGCAGACCAACCGTCTTCCGACGCGAAAAGTGTCCCGCCAAGCTGTTCGGCACGCCCCCCAGAAGGTTCGTGACCTCATAGGGAGCTAACGGCGGTAGCCACAACTGCACAGGATTGGGTCCTTCGCCAGCTCCCCCCCTCCCTCCCAGTAAATGCAGTTGCGAGTGCCGCGGCTTTGAGAAACGTTGTCGGTGGGGCTTCCGGTGGGGATACGAAGGGTGTAAGGGGTGTGCCGGAGTAGGTGCGGCAGTGCCATACAGGCGCTGCTTCTGGGGCCGTGTCGGTGGAGTTCCCGCGGGGCCCCGAAACGTGTGAGGGTGTGCGGTCACACTTGCAAGGATCTTCGGTGGAGATCCCTGGGTGTCCGCGGGGCGTGTGAGGGGTGAGCCGATAGAGTCGCGGCGCTGCCGTGCTATGGTTGCGACGTGGGTCTCAGGTGGAGCGCCCGCTGGGGCTGCGAAACGTGTGAGATGGACCAAAACAGACACACCGGTGCCACGCGGTCGCTGCCACTCGGCCTTTGGTGGAGGTCACCTGGGAGGGGTGTGTCGAAATGGGGGCGACAGTCCCCTGCGGGCGCTACCACTGAAGCCTGTGGTGGAGTTTCCTGTGGGGCCGCCGGCCGTGTGAGATTTGTGCCAGCATCAGAGCGGCGGTGCCATGCGGGCGTTGCCTCTTGGGCCTTCGGTGGGGCGCCCCTGGGGCCACGGAGCGTGTGAGGTGATACAGGCGTTGATGATGGTGATGCTGATGCTGATGATGATGAGGGGGAGGATGATCAGGATGATGATGATGATGGTGATGGTGATGATGCTGCTGATGATGATGATGGTGATGGTGATGGTGATGCTGATAATGCTCATGATGATGATGATGATGATGATGATGATGGTGATGGTGTTGGTGATGGTGATGATGATGATGATGATGATGATGATGGTGATGATGATGGTGATGATGAGGATGCGGATGAGGATGAGGATGAGGATGAGGATGAGGATGCTGATGATGATGATGCTGATGCTGCTGCTGGTGTTGCTGCGGATGATGATGACGATGATGATGATGATGGTGATGATGATGATGATGATGATGATGATGATGATGATGATGGTGATGATGATGGTGATGGTGA